CTTTGCATCATTTGTAGCTCAAGTAGAAAAACAAAAAGAAACTCCCATTCGCTTCGAGCAGTTCTGACTTTTTTTTAATCCGATCATAGTTTGGAGCTCGCGTGAAACTCGATGAAATGAATGCAAATTTAAGCTGGATAATGCAGAAACAAACTGAGACCTTTTCAAAAATGAAGATCCGTTATCCGCTAATGCAAAAATTTGTTGCAGTTCTGTAGTTAATAATTTTGATATTTTTTGTAGGCCAAACAATTATTTAAAATAGAGTAAAATCTTATCAAAGTGGGCCAGTAGCTCTAGAGAAAGCAGAAAGTAGTTCCTTTTCTCTACATTCGTGTAGTTGTATGATCTAAAAACATTATTCCCAAACAAATTTCCATTGCCGGCATACTTCGCACTATATCTTACGACTAATTATTAATAAAAAAAAATCTTAAGATGACGCTTCGCATCGTTTCATGACTCATGACTAATCTATTATCTTACGAAACTAAAAAGATAAGTAGAAAAAGAGAAACGGAAGTTCCTGTCTCTTAGGCTTTTTTTTTAGTAAACATGAAGCCTTGAGCAAACGTACATATCAATGTAATTTTTCCATTATTAGCGAAAAAGTACTCAGCTGAATAAACGTAATTTTACATAACACGTCACATTTCCCTACAGAAACTATCGATTCAACCTTTTGTTTTATGAGATGAATTTTCCTATTTTTTTCCAAGCTATTTCATATCTACTTTGTTTATATTAGACTCGACGTAATGTTGCACAAAAATTTTCTCAACTGTACAGATACAAACCTTGGTAGCCGAGTCGACATGTGCACCACGTTTAAGTAGCTCACGTACGACCTCGCTATGACCCTCTTTTGATGCTAAATGTAATGCGTTCAGTCCATTCGCATTACAGGTATTGATGTCGGTCCCGCCGCGCAACAGTTCCAACACTTTATCAAGATTTCCGGCACGAGCAGCACGTAGGAAACTAGCACTTGCGCTGCCCTCGCCCTGCTGAAATGAAAACCTTTAGTTCTGCGGTAAGAGAAATCCCGAAATAAATTGGGATTTCCCAGAAAATTATTTTAAAGTAAAAATGAGCAAGAAAGCTCCAAAGTTTTTTTTATAACCACTTAGTTCAAGGAAAATTCATGAATGAACCTAACATTTTAAGAAACCTTTATAAATCAAAATGCAAAAGACCATGTAAATCGAAGTTAAGTCGAGAAAAAGGCCCAGCGGT